ATAATATATAATATATATATATTTTTATATAATTTAATGTAAGTTAAATAATAAAACAATTTATTTTTGGTTTAATATTATAAATTTTATAAAGAAAATAATTAAGTATTATGTTATAATTTAATGATTATACTAATTATATTTTAGATTTTTTATATTTAAAATGAGATGTTTATCATGTATTTGATTGTGTTTATCTACAGTTAGTTACACGAATTCAKATATGGGAAGGGTTTAAGAGTTTTTAAGAGTTTTAGGCAAATGCTTTATAATATAGTATAGATTTTTCGTAGTCGTGTTTAGTACATAAATAATTTATAAAAATAGAAAAAAATGACGAAACTATAATTATAAGTCAATTCAACCTAATTCATGTTAAATTTAATCTTTTTTAAGTATATAATATTTATATATAACAAACATAATAAATAAATTTACACATCCTCTTAATATTTGGTGACGTTTGAAACCTCTGCACTCTCTTCAATTTGGAGTGAAAATAAAATAAAATAAATGGAACAAAAAATATTTTTATTTGTCTTCTTGAAAGAAAGGAAAAGCAGTTATATTTATTATTACACTCTTTAAAAATATATCTATTGGAATGGAAGATTACGTAATTTTGTAATTTTAATAATTTTTTAAAATGTTTTAGCTTTTTTTGTTTCCTTTCCTTCCACATTGGAAAGAAAGTTTTGGGAGAAACTTATCATTATTTTTTTCCTTTTATAAAACACGAGGTTTTTTTTTTTTTTTTTTTTTTTAACTTTCCTCCACTTTTTCTCTCTTTTCTTTCATTTCATTTGTAAAAAAATATTTCAAGAACACAATGTTACCTTTTAGGAGGGCAAAGACCCTCATATCACTAAGCCAAAAAAAACCTTTTCATGTTTAAAATTTAGGAGCCGTTTACTAAACACTTATCCTGTAAGTGCTAATTGGGTAATTTTCTTTACCGGATGAACATGACAAAGGTCAAAAATCTTACTCGATAAGTGCAATGATAAAGATGAAGAGTCTTACTCGGTAAGTGCGGGTGACGACTCTTACCATGGTAAGTGCTTACCGGGTAAATTGTTGCATATGATACCATTTTGATATACTATAATCTTACCCGGTAAAATAAATTACAGTGTTTCATCCTACCGATGAACGCTTACCGGGTAAGCATTTAGGTAAATGACCCCTTACCTTTTTTAACCTTATTTTGTCACGTCTCATTTTTCTTGTATTTTCTAATCAATTATTGATCAACCATTCGATAATTTATTATAACAGGTAAAAATCTTTATATAGTTAAGAGTTTAGGTTTTAAATCATTAACTTATATGATGGTATATAACATATAAATAAATGATGCATGATAGTCATACGAGTATATGCTATACTTAATATGGTGGTTCAACCACATCTTGTGAAACTCACCAAACCCTCTTTGATTCAAACACATCCATTTGTGGGGCTAATTTTATGTTGATTTTTGTTCAGTTAAAATTAATAAATTTCTGAATACGTTTATTATCTGTTACTATTGACATAATATAGCAATATAATAAGTTTTTTTAAGGGTATTTTGAATTAGGGATGAAAACTATAGGTTAATAATAAAATAACTTTAATTTAAACTACAAAATACATAATATCTACTCGTTTTGTTTTGTTTTAATTTTAAAACATGTGTCAAAACGTCTATCATATCGTGATTTCCGTTGTTACTAGGCCCCGGCTCCTCAAAACCTAATTTTCCTACATAGTGTGGTCCATACGTGTTTGCTATTGGTCTTCCCAAAACCTAATCACATTTGTTTTCTTAACAAGTGGTGAAGTCAAGTAGCCTCCAAAACTTCTGGTGTATTTTCTGATTTTATATCAAATTTATTACTAGTATCGTATCTGAATTAGAATTGTTGTAAATGCATCAACTGTGTGACATATGGGTGTACAAATTTTAAATGTTTTGGCTTTAAGTTACACCTGATGGTGTCCATTATTCGTAGTAAAAGAAAACGAAGCAACGTTATTTTGATAACAATATATGCAAAAACAGTATGTACAACCACATATACTGAGTTTCTGGTTTGAGTTATTACGAAAATAATATAATATAATATTTTTTTTTGTAACATGTTAAAAATTATTATTAAGAAGATCACCAACCAGACCAATAAAAGATTCATGACTTGTCTTTTAGCCTAAAATTCACCTACTCCCTTACAATTTTCAAAAAGACATTTAATTTACAAGATTAAGAGAGCCATAAGGAATAATATTTATAAAATGATGTAAATTATTTGTTTGTTGGATATGTTAAAATTTGTTATACAAAATATCCTAGTTAAGCTTAATGTAAGTGTTAATTACAACTCCACAAGAATGATGTTTGATTGGTTTGAGCTTAGACTTCAAAAGGTTAAAAGTGTCAAGGTCCCATGTTTAAATTCAAAGAGAAATAAAAATTCTTTTGTGACCATGTAATGAATCAACATAATTGAGAGGTTGTTTGTTTACCTCTTAATAGTTTCATTAAGAGGCATCATCTGAATTGTTAAGAGATGAATCTTATTTGGCGAAAAAAAATATGTCTCTTAATGGTTCTAAAACCCTCTTAATGATTTTATATCTTGGGTCTCTCTTAACCATTCAGTACCTTAATTTCGTTGTAAATAATTACCAAATAATTTTATTTTATTTTGCACTATATCATGAGAGCCTCTTAATCATTCTGACCACTTAATCATTTTACACCAAACCATTCAACAACTGCCAAACAGCCTCTGATAATAAAAAAATTAGTATACCGTTGTTTTGCATAATCCCATGTTAATTTACATGATAACATATCATTTGAACGTCAAGACGAAATTTATTTCGAGATTTGCGTAAAAATATATGTTGCTTTTTTTTTTTTAAATTAATGTTCCATATTAACTCAACAATAATTATAACATAATAAAGACAATCATAAAAATGGACGTCAAAATCATGACTCAAAATCACATGGTGAATACAAAAAGTCTAATATACAGATCAACTATTATAAGGGGCGATATAAACATTATTTGTTAAATAAATGTTAACAAATAAGAGGTTGTTTATTTACGGTTTAATTAGATTTATTGGTTTATCTGGCTTATTCGTACAACTTATTTTGGTTGTTTACTTACAGCTTATTCACACATAACATGGCTTAATCGCACAGATAGAAATGATGCGTTGTCCTCATTCAGCCACAAAAATGACACCACTACCCTTTATTTAAAGCACCGCTTCCTTCCCGTATGAGACACCCCATCTTCGGTTGATGTTCACAATATGTTCATAGACAATACCAGATCCCATAGATTTAGAGTGTGTTCATAATGCGTTCATCTTATGTGGACATTCAATTGTATATGTGGTGCGTAAGATATGAGATAAAAGAGTATACATAAGGATCCTCAACACCAATTTTTATAATATAATTGGACTTCACGAATTATAAAAAAATTTCAAAAGAAGATCACATTGTAGATTCGTAATTATCTAAAGTTGCAAGATACACAAAAAGGGTATTTTGTTTGATGAAAATGGATCTAGATTTCGTGGAATGATTTGGTATGGTAAGAATTTGAATTTAGAACTACTTAGGGGCCGTTTACCAAACACTTATCCGAATAAGCGTTTACCAAGTCACATTACCTCATCGGATAAATATCAAAGGACTAAGAATCTTACCAGATAAGAGCGAGACAATGACCACAAATCTTACTCGGTAAGTGATGATGATGACTCTTACTATGGTAAGCGCTTACCGGGTGAATTGTTGCATACAATGTCGTTTTGATGGACTAAAGTTTTACCCGGTAAGTAAATAATAGTATTAAAATTTACCGGTAAGCACTTACCGGGTAAGTGTTTGGTAAACGGCCCCTTAGAATTTTTGGTTTGTAGGATTTAGATCGGAATTGAATTCAATTTTTTATAAATAATTATAAAATAATTAATTTACCTTTATTTATTTATTAATTATTAGAAAACAAATAGTTTCAACACATTTTAAAACATGTTATATACAAATCTTAAGGAATCTCATAAAATACCAATTATCCTTGTGATATTTCAAAATAATATATTATAAGATTTAAATGGAATCATAAGATTTCAAATCCAAAAAACCTTTTAGACCAAGTATGCGACTAAAATTGAAATCACTTCAAATTTAATCCGGTCCAATCTTAGAGCATCTTCAACAATTTTTCTAAAATAGAGAACCAAAACATAAATTTTCTAAAAAGAATTACATTCATCTTCAATAGGTTCTCTATTTTAGAGATTTTAATATAAATTATATTACTATAATATTCTCTAATTTATCATCTCAATATATTTTAAAAAATATTATAAAAAATAATAACTGGTAAAATTAAATAAAATAATCATTTATTTTTTCCTCATAAAATTTTAGAAAATTCTTTTTATTTACAATTTTCTCCCTAGCTTTCTATTTTAGACAACAAAATATAAATTTGTTAAAACATTTTAAAAAGAAAAACTCATTTTTTTTTAATTTTAAAAATTATGACAAAAGATGATTTTATAAGGAGTTGTTTGTTTACTTCTTAATAGTTTCATTAAGAGGTGAATCTTGTTTGTCAAAAAAAAATCTGTCTCTTAATGGTTCTAAAATCCTGAATGATTTTGTATCATGAATCTTTCTTAACCATTAAGAGCCCTAATTTCTTTGTATACAATTACCAAACAATTATATTTTATTTTATACTATATCATAAAAAACTCTTAATTATTTTAACAATTTAATCGTTCTACATCTAACTATTCACCAATCGATCAAACAATCCAAATGGAACGTTAAAACTCAATGTTGCGGTTCGGAGTCACAAAGATGGGATCATGAAATAAGAAACGTGGCATGCAAAGAGAAGTGGGCTCCAGTGGAGACGCACGTGTCTCGCGCATGCTTCCTTCGGACAAAAACTGAAGCGATTTCCATTTTTCAAATTGGGGAAAAAATTCTCGAAAAAGTTAGTGGCGTTGGCTTCGCAGTTGCAACGCCCCATACTCACACGATCACGTAGCTTGTGTGTGTGTGTGTTGAGGGCAGATATTTTTAAATATAAATCGAATTATCTTTTGGGGATCAGTGTAAAAATGGCAGACCCATGTTTATTGTGAGAGAGAGAAAAATAAGCACGAATTGGAATGAACGAATGAATGGATTTCACTGTGCAAATTTAGGGTTGCTGCAGAGAGATTTCTACAAGTGAATAAGATTGATATATTTCTTAGCTTTCAACATATCCGATCCCCTTCTTGTAAGTCTCGTCTTTCTTCTTCCTTTCGCTTTGCCTTTTTGTCTTAGATTCTCTCTTCTTTTGCTTTCAGCTTTGTGTTCTTCCATAGAAAGTCAAATCACCTTTTTATCCATTTGGGTAAACGTTCTTTTGCTCTTGTTTGTCTATTTTCGTCGTATATTAACTTTTCCCGAATTGGGTTCTGTTCATTTGAAATTCTTGCTCAATTCCCCCTAATTTGTCTGACTTCAGCTTTCTATCGACTTATTGATCATTTTATACATCTGGGTACTAATCTTTTTCGCATTTCCATTCAGTAGAATGATATCTGATGTCAAATCCATTTGGGGTTTTTGTTAATTTGAATTTATAGGGAAGTTTCACTACCCAAAAGCTCTAGTTTGTGTTTTATGAGTTTGATTCATAATTCGAATTGTGTTCAGGATTACTTGAAGGAGTCAATCCAGTTAAAGCTTTCCATTTGATTTTTGTTACCAAGATAGTGAAATTAACAAGGATGGGAGATCATTTTGTGTTTTTGGTTGATCGGTTACTCACAGAGTCCACTTTAGAGGCTGCAATTGAGAGCAGAAGCCCTTCATATCCGATGGCTCCTGCCAATGAAACAGTGATTGATTGTTCATCTCATATGGATTCTGAAGCTGTTTATACTCCTAGGAAAATGGTTGAATGCAGGATATGTCAGGATGAAGATTTTGATTCGAATATGGAGACTCCTTGCTCTTGTTGTGGTAGCTTGAAGGTTGGTTTATTCTGCCCAACTGCTTTTAAGCATATGCAGATTATAAATATTTCTGGATATGGGTGCGTTTGGTACCCAGCCAGGACCGATGTTCTACAACATTTGATAAGATAGGACAGGTAAAATGACCAATTAACCCCTAATATAGGCTTGTTCCACCTTGTTAAATACTAGCTTTTTGGCTAACAGCTAGCCTATAGTTTGCCAAATATAGACCTAATTTCCTAAGCCAAATATTGATCTAGTTTAGATTATCTTTGCCGCCCACGAAATTTGTAAAACAGGAAGGAGCATGAGTCATATACAACCTTCTTGCCAAGGTTGTAGTCGAGCCCAACCGTTTGGACCCCTTATAGGTTCTAGCCAAGGATAGTCCGTCTAGAAGTTAGATACGGGAAGTTGGTAGCATTAAGCTACATTATCTATGTTTGTGTGGGCGTCTTATTGGTCTATCTTTTGTAACCTTTGATAACGAATGCATTTCCATGGTTCTTCACTTCCTTGGGTTCATATCTGGTTTTATATTTTGTAGTATGCTCATCGCAGATGTGTTCAAAGATGGTGTAATGAAAAGGGTGATATCGTGTGCGAAATATGCCATCAGGTGGGCTTTTATCTTGGCAACTTATTTGAGCTTTAAATAGCCGGAAATCTTTCGTATTTTTTAAAATTAAGCACACATTCGAAGCTTCACGTAGTTATCTTCTTTAGAATATGGCTATCTGCAGCAATTTAGACCAGGGTATACAGCTCCACCTCCAGTGTTCCGGTTAGGAGGTCTTCCAGCAAATTTCAGGTACATTAATCCATTCTTTAAAGATCTTGATTTTGAGGTCAAATGGATTTTGTTTCATAAGAGAGACCAAGATTTTTTTCGATTTTGTAACCATCTGTGTACTTGAATAATAACCGTTCAAGATCTGTCGTGGAATTAATTGAATTCGTATCCGGTTTTTAGTTCCAAGTTGGTTAATTTGACCTCAAAAGTCAAACTATATTGTTGTTATTTTGTTGCTAAATTGCTTTCCTCCATGCATTTATCAGGGGCCATTGGCAGATTGCGAGAAGGGACGTGAATGATAATCCACAGATAATTACCATTGTTTCTTCTGATCATAATTTTCTTGATCAAGGATACGATGAGTACGCAGATTCCACCGCCAGAAGCATTTTATGTTTCCGTTCAGTTGCTGTCATCGTAATCTCTCTTCCCAGCTCTTCACACTCGTATTCTACTGTTTTCTCTAACGTTTTTTATTTTCTGTATGCAGTTCATCGTTCTCCTGATCTTGCGTCACACTTTACCCGTACTTGCAAACGGAGTGGGAAATTACCCGTTACCTGTGTTTTTGGTGGGAACTCTTTATTGCTTTCATCCTTTTATTCGTTACTTCATCCATTATAGAAAAAACGTACTACAACCAAATTGGCTTTACAGGACGCGCCAAAGATGTCCAAACGGTTATGTCTTTTTATTAAAAGACTACTATGAGGCATTATTCTAAAATTGTCTTAGAGAACTTGTTAAAATTGTTTGATCCTAAACAATCTATTAAGACATATTTGGCTCTTATAAAGGCGGTTTTGTTGTAGTGGCGATGCATATGAGGTATATATGTTTTCACCGCTTTCCCATGTGTTACAGTTGCTACTCCTACGAACTTCAGGAATTATCATACCAATCTACTTCATCCTAAAAGGGATGACAGCATTGGTAAATCGGCAACGCCGGTTGGTGAGTAGTTAACTATCTTGCCTTAATTTAAGGTCTTCGATTCTTTTGCTGTCCGGCGATTGCTTTACCAAATGGGGTTTACACGAATGATCCAAAACGACTACTAATATTGGTGTTGGTCGATTCTTATCAGGCGTCTAATGGATCAACATCATCTTTCTCTTCTGATGACGAAGAAGCAGGTTCAACACCTTTGCAGTATCAACCACATACGGGTCGTGTTAATTAGTCGTCTCGTGCCATGTGGGGTCGGCAGACTCGAAGTCAACCGTCAACCACGTGATTTGTGTAGAAAGGTTTGTTCATAAACTGGGTTCATGAAAGTGGTGCTCCAACTAGAACAGATGCAACTCGATACTTATCGAGTTGTGATGCACCCATCAAGTTTAGATCTGTATTTAGTGGTCTAAAAGTATCTTGAAAACGTGCTGTATGGCTCTTTTTCGAAAATCATGCAGCTTTCGGGAAAAAAACGTTTGTATATATTGCATCTACGGAAGAATTACGCATGAAATAATTCCACCTACGATAATCACAGAAGTGATTGTTCTTACTTTCGAAATTTGGATGTTCTGTAAGGTTCAATCTGTTTATGATGAAAATAAATCTGTAAACGAACGTTGCTTTCGGTTATAGGAGGATCATTTCAATTTTGAGATAAGGGCGGACCTATGAACCCCCGAGTGAGGTCCTACTCACTCGATCAACTTGATTTTGTAACTAGGTATGAAAGGTGTATATGCTAGTTTGACGTGTGTTTTACAATATTAGAAAATACACAACCAAAAACCCAAAAAAGTCGTTAAAAATCGATCAAAAAATCAAGAAAACCCTATCGAAATCAACTGAAAAACCAACTTTAAGTTCTTGAAAAAAAAAATTAAAAAAAAAAGAATTGGATCCACCTTAATAAAACTTGTAAGATTCCCATGTAGTGGATTATAACCTAATTTGCAACTTGAATGTTATTGGTTCTTCAAACCCACTAACGTTCAACACGAAAAAGTATTTATCCACTGCATTCAATAATAAACAATTTGATTATAGTTTGCAGAAAATATTTCTATAATTATTTGAGTGATGGTATGGTGGCATGTGTATTCTTTCATCGAAGGGTAAAAAATTTTTAAGTTCATGAAAGATGCAACCGTCTTAATTTATTGTGTGTTATTGTATGTATTTTGAAACTACAATGAGAACAAGTTTTATTTAGTAAAGTTGGTTTGCAAACCTTTTATTTCACATCAGACCCAAGTTCGAATCTTGTTAGCGTTCTTTTCTTAGTCAAATAGTGTCACCGTTTAAAAAAAATGTATAAATTTTTTTCTTATACTCAATGGTGGCACCGATTGAAAACATTTTTTGGTTCGTCCCTGACACTGGTTAAGCTTTCGGAGGATGTAATGGAAAATTTTATCTATTTCGGGCTCAAATTCAGATCTGCTAGATCCTTGTGATTATGAAGGTTTACCAACGATCACTTCAGATTATTTATGGTCGTTCAAGAAATTAAACGGTACACTAAACTGAAAACCTAAGATTACGAAAAAAGGGATTTTATAAGGTTTAATAATCTATACTATATTATAAAGAATTTGACAAAAACTCTTAAAAACTACTTTTTATGCACGAAGTACTGTTTATTGATGCATATTACTTAAAATTTAATATTACAAGTAAATTGTGCATAAGTACAACTTATTAAAGCTCTATATTTGAATTCGTGTAACTAACTGCAGATAAACATAATCAAATATATTGGATAAATATCTCATTTTAAATATAAAAAATCTAAAATATAATTAAGATAATCATTGAGTTCTAACATAATACTTAATTATGATTTTTATAAAAAAATTATATTATTAAACCTAAATTAAATTATAATTAAAAAATTGAATTAAAGAAATTACACCGAAACACAAGAACTTTAAAAAGATTAATTTAATACTAATATCAATATATTTTTTTTCAAAATTTTATGATATTTTTAAATTTATATTTTATTTAAAAATAAAAATATTATCATTTTCTCAAAACCACATAAACCGTATTATATTGACATAAAAAAAAACGAAAACACTAAAATCAAGATATGTTTTGATGCGTTGTACGAATACCCTTTCTAGTATCCAATAATAAATGGTGGTACATGTTCTGAATTATTGATTTTGTAGTGTTTTAAGAACCCCATCTCGTTATCGGTCGCGGTTGAAGGATGACCACAAAATCATATCACGAGTGTGTCAGTGTGTGTATAGCATTTAAAATATTTTATGTCATTTTTTTATGTATGAATAAAAAGTACACTTAACTTTTTTATAATGAGAAAACAAGGATAGCGATCAATATGTCGTTTTGTTAAGATGTGCCCGTTATCTAGATTCGGAATATGATGATTATATTATTTTTATTTAAGGGTCGTTTACCAAACACTTACCCGGTAAACATTTACTAGTAAAATTTAACAGTATCATTTATTTACCGGATAAGATTTTTGTTCACCAAAATAGTATCGTATGAAACAATTTATCACGTAAATGCTTTCACTTACCAGGTAAGACTCTTGGTCATTGTCTCGCTCTTACCGGGTAAGATTTTGGTCATTACCATATTCATCCGGTAAGGTAAAGTGACTTGGTGTTCACTTACCCGAGTAAGAAATTGGTAAACGACCTCTTAGTATGTATAAATTTATATATATACTCTGTATTATTTACAAATATTATATAACAAGTATTTTCAACAAAAACAATATGAAAAGTACGTATGAATTTTTTATATTATCGTATAAATCAAGTGTATTACTACTTTTAAATAAAATTATCCAAATCTTTAGTTATCACTTATAACTATTATATAAAAACATTAAACATCATTTTGAGGGCTAAAATGGTTATTTTAATTAAAATTGTCTTGTATTTTCTAGCCTACTAATATTATACAGACAATTTGTCCGATTATATCCTAGTCATACAAAATATCAGATGTAACTAGAGACTAAAATAAAAATGTAGCTTACCATGGTCTGAAATATTTTTCCTTGGTCTACCCTTCCAAAAAACAACTTTCGTTTACTCATAAGAGGAAAGGTGACCACCTCTTTTCTTCATTTGCAATATTGTTGCACTCGAAACCACATCCACAACATCGATATCAAATTTCATCAACAATCCACACTTGCATGTACAACTGATTGCCATTGTGACTCACCTCCATGATCTTCACCCAAGAAAACAACAGTTTTACCCTAATGCACTTCAAGTTCCAGATTGAATTTACTCATTATTCCATTGATGGTGCACTTGTATTTCAGATTGTAGCCTTCGACAAAGGAAAGACATGTCTTACCCCATTACAGCTCGAACTCTCCTGACACTGTAGTTAGTCACTCTTCTAGGAGGCAGACTCGTCAGAGAATCATATTCTTCCTATGCTTCGTAGGGTGTGCATGGATCAATGACATAGATGAATTTATGTTATAACCCACACTATTATTGTGTTTCTCTATAAAATTTTAGGATGGAGTTGTAACTTTTTCTAATCTTTAAGGGCCAGAGTCGTAAATAAGAGGTTAAACGAGAGGGGACTCTCTCATTTCAACCGTTTGGTGAATGACTCCTCTAGGTGTATGTGTGTGTTTTGGGAGAATCGATAGAGAAGGGTTTGTTTAAAGAGGTTGAGCAATTTTGGGAAGGAGCACAATGAGAGGATCGTCCACCTTAGGTAAGAATCCTACCTTTTAAGCTTGTTTCTTCTTTAATGGAGCTTGGTTGGATGGAACTTGAAACTCTAGGGCTTCTACGTGTCTCTTAGAGACTGGATCATTTGTTTATGGGAGATTATGTTTTTTGGAAGTTTATCTCGAATTTGTGATTTAAACCAACTCACTTATTGTGAATCATGAGAGTTTTCACTTTGGTAAACTGGATTTGAAGGTGGAAACTCCATGGATGATGAACACATGGTTAAATTGGAGATTTGGTGAGTTAATTAGCAATTGATAATTAGTTTTGGTTTTGCAAATGGTTTTGAGAAGTTCCCTTTTGATTCTGGTTAATAAATTCAGTTGAAAATCATGGATCTATGGTTGAATTTGAGTTTTGGGGCTGAAATGAATTGTAGGGATGAAGCAGCACAAAACAGTGTGTCGCGCGACTTGGCACACGACCTAGGTCACGACACAAGTTGCGTAAGCCACTGTTGTGGCGCAACTTAGTCTGCTTTGTTTCGCGTTTTGAGCTGGGTTTTGAGCCTTCATTTTGGGGGTTCTTTAGGGGATTATATTATAAGGGGTTTAAGTTGAGTTAACGCCTTCCTTAACTTGGTTAATTCAGTTGTTAGTTTGAGCTTCCTAGCCGTTAGGCTTGGGGTGGAGTGGGAACGGCTTGTGAGTTCCCTTACACTAAATTTTATGCCTCATAAATGTTTTAAATACTTTTGAAGCACTAACATGGTTTTTATGCATATATGAGTTTATATGTAAATCCTATCTTTTTGCACGGTTGTTAAAATTGAGTTATACCTGTCTATAGGGGGGGTGTGTGGAGTTGTACAACAGACATGGGATACCTTGATGTAGTGATACCTCTTGGGAGTTGTGATATGCATGCCACGAATTTGTTTCTCAAGTAGGAGCTTAATTATTATATTTGTCTCGGGGTTGCTACAAATGTTGTACAATGTCCGTGTGAAGGGAATGCACTTTAATGTTACTTGAGTATGATATATTTCAATTATTGGTTTATCAGTTTACCACTTTTATGTTTGAGGAAATGTGATAAAACAAAATTCACTATATCTTATGCTCTAACCCTCTATTTTCAAAACAGAATCATTTTTAGGGAAGTATCAGATTCAGAGTAGCTCGAAAGAGAAAGAGAAGATGTGATCCTAGAAGTGTTGGCGAGTCGTTTTTATTTTCCTTTATCCTTAGTTTTGTAATAATTCTTAGCTGTAAGATTCTGTATTTTCGTTGTAAAGTACTGAAACATTTTTAGGATCTTTTATTTTGTTGAATTTGGTGTCGATAATTTGGCTTTTAATTAATATATGGATATTTTTAGTTTTGAGATGTTACAAATTACCTTATGTAATTCTTGAATACCAATATATTCATTTTAAATTCTATTTTAGCAATTAATATAAAATTTTTAATAAACCATAATTTTCAATCAACACTTATTTCACTTCAAATTTTCTTTTACCTCATTTAGCACTTACCAAAAAAATATCAGTAAATATGAACTTCTAAGGAGTGTTTGGTTATAAGTATTAAACAATAATCAATGATAATAAAACAAAAGAAAACGTTTGATGTTATATAATATAATGAACTCATTTCCTCTCAACCCCATGTTTTCGTTCCAGGTTAATCTGGAGGAACAAAAAGTTCATTCTCCATCGTTTCATTACCTAACCAAACCAAAAACTCTTTACTGTTTTGTATTTCTTAATATCCACTCAAACCTCAATCAATTGTAGTTTGAACAAGTCAAATCCGACTTATTATTCACAAACTGATTTAATATTATATTTCATAAGTTTTAGATGATAAATAATAAATTAAAATGATTGCTTAATAAGAAGTTCAACATTTCTTTTGAAAATACATGATAAACATTTTATAAATATTATGACATAACATTTTTACTTTCGAAGATTGATTGATTGAAATTTCATAAATTATTGCTATAGTAATCATGCAAAAACAAAAATAATGTTTTAGAAAATTCTTGTCATTATCAAATCAAAGCATATATCATACTGTATTGATTTGATTTATAAAAAACCTGTTAAATTATTTGTAAAATTACAAGTCGTATTTGTTGTAGTCAATTTGTTTTGTAAACGAATTAAAGAATAAATGTTTTTTATCCTAACCATTTTTTTTTTCTACACAGTAAGGGGCCGTTACCAAGCACTTATCCGGTAAGCATCTAGCGGAAAAACTCAACACTATCATTTACTTACCGAATAAGATTTTAGTAAAAAAATGGCTTTCTATGCAACGAATTATCCGGTAAGAGTTGATCGTGGTAAGAGTCATTGCCCTCACTTACCAGGTAAAACTCTAGGTCCTTGCCTCGTTCTTACCGGATAAGATTCATGGTTCTTTCCATGTTCATCCGATAAGGTAATGTAACTTGGTAAACGCTTACCCAAATAAGCATTTAATAAACGGCTCCTAAGTATGGTAATTATTGGGTTAATTTAGTTGATGACTTAATTCTATTTTCATAAAAAGAAATTGCATATATTTAATTCATAACAAAATAATATTTTCATTTGGAAGTTTGAAAACAACAAATGAAAATCATATCAATGATTGATTTTTCGTTTTCACAATAACGGAAATATTCAAACATAAATTAAATGTATGATAACGACATTTTTTCATACGTAAAACACATTGTCGGACCTATGATGTTACCTCTTTCCAAACGATGATCACGGAACACACGTCCTCCGAGTCAAAGTCAACCCAATAGCATCTGGCACATCCATGGCAACAATATCCCAATCTTCATCATCTTAATTGCTTCCTCACAGTAACCAGTGGATCCAACTGGTACACAATCAAAACCCACAAATTTACCCATTTTTATTTATTTAATTTTGATAATCATCGTTAAATACAAAAAATTAAAATTAAAAATCCATATTTATCAATGTGGAATTATACAAGTAATCATGCACGGTGTGCAACACTGTAAAGCTATCATAGTTCAATTCTTTTTTGATATACAAATAAAAGTTGATCTATATTTATTACTTCATCATCTTCCTGGACTTGCCTGAGCTTTTTCCGGCGAGAGTTGGAATACTTTGTTCGTTTCTGAAGAAGTTATCGGGATCAACTTCCGTCTTTATCTTCACCAATCTTTCGAAGTTTCCCATGAAATACTTCTCGCCGTAAACCACACCTTCACTGTAACTGTTCTTCCCGTCGCCGGAGGTCACCCCGATGTCAAGATCTCTGTAGTTCAGGAATGCACCTCTTGGATTCTTTGATACAAATGGTGTCATGAACTCGTACATAACTCTGCTTTGATTCAAGTAGTTTGCCTCCAATTCGGGATCAGGGTCGTTCCAGTTGACGGAATATTGTATTTTGAAAAGGTTGCCGGCGCGGTGAGGGAATGGGGTTGCGTCGGCCGGAATCTCGTACATTTTCCCGCCGTAGGGGTTGAAAACGAAGCCAACTTTACCCAATTCGACCAGTTTGTCGAAGATTGATTTCAACCCAGATTCTGAAATCGGAGTTTGTACGTAATCGGACTTTCGTTTTCCGTAATTAACATTGTCGGAGTGGCGGTCAAGGAGGATCTCCGGCGCCGTCGTGTTGAGATCGAAGTTGGCCCAGTAAAGTACTGACTCAATCCAACTTACTTCGATACAATCTTCTTTTCTCAAACCCAATTCCGGGAAGTTTTTGTTCATCAAAGCCACCAATCTATCGGAATCACCCAAGAAATGTGCTATGAATGTAGCCCGACCTGTTCTCCGGCGATTCACCGTCACCGGCTGTAACAAAACTCTAACAAATAAATCATCATCGATGTTAGGCACAACCGTCTGCCATTTATAAACAAGTTCCGTCGCGTTTTCTGCCACCGTTTTCAATATCCGGAATACGGTATTGACCTCCGGCACCGGAACTAATTTCACAGTGTAAGATAATATAACACCAAAACTGCCGCCACCGCCGCCGCGTATCGCCCAGAAAAGATCCTCCCCCATTGATTTTCTATCCAAAATCCGTCCGTTAACATCAACAATTCTGGCATCAGTAACGTGGTCCACAGACAATCCATATTTACGAAGCATGGTTCCGTAACCGCCACCGCTTAAATGCCCACCGACACCGACCGTCGGACAAACTCCGGCAGGGAACCCGTGAACTTTACTCTTTTCCGAAATCCTATAAAAAAGTTCTCCCAACTGTGCTCCTGCTCCGACAACCGCACTTTCATCGGCAATATTGACGTCAATCGACCGGAAATTGAACATATCAAGTATGATGAAATCAGGCTCCGATGAGACATATGAGATTCCTTCGTAGTCATGACCACCGCTACGAATCTTAATCTGAACACCGATTTTTTTAGCGCAAAGAACAGCGGCTTGCACTTGGGATTCGGTTGTCGGAGTTATAATAATGGAGGGTTTAGGCGTTGCAGTGGTGTTGAAGCGGTTGTTTTTTATGTAAGCTTGGAGGACGGCGGTGTAAGAGGAGGAATTGGCGGTGGAGCTGTAGAGGATGGAGGAGAGATTGTGGTCAGATTCCGGTGATTGTGAAGGGAGACATTGGAGAAATGACTGATAAACTGAATCGGGATCCATGGCTGCATTTGAAAAGGAGAAAAGTAGAAGTGAGAGTAGTAAGGAAAGCATAATTGACGACTTCATTGTTATTGTCGGATGATTATTTAAAGAAAAGGAAGAAGATGGTGATTATTTATAGCGAAGATTTATGTTTGCGCGTTGTAAGACTTTTTGTGTCTTTCCACATGGGGAATTTGAGAAGGTATTTGTGGTCGTCGGCAATGGCGGATGGTGAAACGTGGAAGATTCTTGTTTGCTAGAAGTAAACGATTGTACAAGGGACCAAGGGGATATTTATTGAAGATTGTTCATGTTTTTACCAAGGAAGTGTTGGGTACCAAACTTTACTTCATTGGCGGTTGTCTGACATTTTATACGCCAAAATTAATTAAACGTTACCCTCGAAAAAAATATGACTAAATTACCCTTCAAATAATCTCTTATATTTTTATTCATTTTTCTTTTTTATGGATAAACTTATAAAATAACAAAGTGTTTATATTATTATTTATATTTAAATGTGTTTCTTTACATGCAAAATAAATATAGGTATTTGATACATAAAACAACATTGTATAAACACTATATAGTTATATGTGTTGTTTTATATACGAAATAAACACTACATATTTATATGTGTTGTTTTAAGCTATGTCTGAAGTCTGAACTAATACCAGTAAATTGTGACCATAAGAAATCAACCTTGATAAACTCAATGGTCACAAATGTTTTATACGTCTAGAATCGAACTCTTGAAAAAATGAGGTATTCCACCATATCTCCTAGGACCACAACCATTGTCACAACCCTTGTGGTTATTGTACTAAAATATTGGTTTGTAAATGATTGAATATATATATATATATATATATATATATAAGGGACATTCAAGGGAGAACTAGCTAGTTTGTGGTAATCGTGAGTTCCAATCTCAACCAAAATTCAATAGATAAATTAAGAAATTTATAATTTTGGTAATTTTTAATTAAAATTTTAATGCAAGGACATTTTAGGTATTTTCTCCTCTCTCTTCTCTCTCCGTCCCCGTCTTCCGACCACCGTCCTCCGGTGATACCACAGTGTGATACTCAAACACTTATAAGATGCATTGTGATACCACTGTGTTACATATCCGATCGACCACACAAACGACCACAATGTGATACCCAATCACATATAAGATGCATTGTGATA